ACATTTCTTCTTCTTCTTCTTTTTTTTAATACTTTTTGTTTGTTTGAGGGGGAGGTAATTAGGTTTAGTTTTTTTTTTTTAATTTAACAGAGGTACTGGGGATCAAACCCATGACCTCATGCATGCTAAGCATGTACTCTACCACTGAGCTATACCCTCCCCACAGACATCTTGAAAATGACAAAGCCAGTCTGTCACTTGGAGAAAAACAACGGACAGTATTTGTTGCCAACTGTAAATTTCAAGCTTTCCAATGACTTTGAGGAAATTGGTGTCAACGTTCTCCAACCAAAGACCACCAGGAACATCCCCACAGTTGAACCAGTTGGGTCGATTACACACAGTGGAAGAGGAGACATCACAGGAGGCACGGGGTGTCTCAGTGAGAGGGGACTGGGGGGACCTGCTGCAGGAATTGGCTTCAGCCAGATAACTTGGGAAAGAGCATAAGGAGGTGGGGGTTGTGTATATATTGGGAGCTATCAGGGAACAGGAGTAATTCTATGGTATTTTGTCAAAAATCTTATCTATAGAGGGGAGATGAGGATAAAGTTGCAGCTGGTGAAACAGTCACTCACACTGGCTGGGAGAAGGTGTTCAGCATGTTGTGTGTGGAGCACTGACCCTGGATTTTGTCTCTGCTGAAACAAAGTTATGTGGCCCGCTTCGTCTCCCAGCCTTAGAGCAGCCCTCCCCGGGGCTGGTGCCAGGGAGATTATCTGGAAGGAGAGAAGCGTGCCCGAGCTGGCAGTGCCAGGCCAGCTCAGGCTCCTTTTTTTCCCCTTTTCTCACTTGTATCCTTCACCATGAGCTTGACAGCTTCCAGATACTTAAAGACTTTACAGATGAAGTTAGTGAGGATATTAATGATTTTTTTTATATAATGATGAATCAACATTCAGAAGATCAATGTAAGTCAGTTAACCATCACCTATGACAGTTAAGACACTTACACAAAAGGGGCGGTGACAGTTTTATAGCTGAAGGAAACAAACTGACAAATACTTAATTTATATAATGTTATGCCTCTTCATTCATTACTTACTGAACATTTATATATTAGTCTGTATTGCATGCTAAGGATAGGGACCAAAAAGAAAGGTTTTTATCCTTAAAGAGCTCACAGTCCCATAGGGTAATGAAGGTTAACAGCCCACAAGGACACAATTGTGAAGTGTTAACATAACAGGAAGTATAAGGCGCTCTTGGAATATATACTAGGGGCCCTTAATTTAGATCAAAGTAGATAATGACAGAGCTTAACCTTGAGGTCAAACAGGAGTTAGCTGGCCAAAGGAATGGCAGATGCAGAGGAATAGGAGATAAACAGGAAGGATGTAAGGGATTTTGTATCAAAAATAGTTGAAAGCCATCTGGCTGTATGGTGAGTGGACCAAGAGAAAGGTTAGGGTGCAGGCAGGGGTTCCAATCAAGATCTGATGGGGTCTTATTTAAATAAGGCCATGGTAGTGGGTATAGAGAGGAAGGATGGGTTTAAGTGATATTAAAAAATTAAATATTAAGGACTTGGTAACTGAGTATCTTCATTAAGTGGACACAAAAGCACACAAAGATCAAATGTCCTTATACCATCCTAAACTAATCTACTTTCTTCCTCTTAAAAATTACTGTGACATTAACACTAATTAAAGTACATTACCTGGTATTCTTCTGAGGAGTCAGCATAACCTGGCCTTCCGCTGTGATGTCTATGATACAGTGTTCGGGAAGAATTCCCATTCCACACAGCTGGATATCTTGGGAATTTGCTGAACCTATCAATGTATGCTCCTACAAAAGAATCAAATTCACTGATTAATACTGTATTCTTACATGTACACAAACTGAAATCGTTTACTTTGAACTCTCGTATGTTCATCTGTTACCTTAGATAAAAGATTTTTAAAGCAAATGGAATGGTAGGGGGAATTTCTGGCTTTCTCTGAAATTCATTCTACAAGTTATATTTCCTCATAAGGAATAATGCACTGAGTTGAGTTATAACTTTTAAGCTTAAAACTATAGTTTTATATTAATGTCTGTGGTAGAGCACATGCTTAGCATGCACCAGGTCCTGGGTTCAATCCCCAGTACCTCATTAAAAACTAAATTGAATAAATAAAAAATAATAAAATTTTTAAAAGGTATCTACAGATATAGAGCTATTCAAATGTAAGGCAAATGTCTACTTCTTGCTGTCGGCTGAGGCTTCCAGGACAATCCCATCCTTTCCTAACCTAGAGAACAGGACTTGACTAGGTGTAAACTTCAAGTAATGCTTTAGTGATGGTCAGGAGCAGGCCTAAAGCAGCTATTTCATGTCTGTCTCCATTTCCTAATTCTTCCCCCGTCTTACAACACCAACTGCAAGGTGGAGATAAGTTCCTAAGGGGAAAAGAAAAAAAAGAGTTCGGAGAGAAAAAGAGCCCACGAATACTGAAAAAAAGGAAGAAAAGCTCCCCAAAGCACTTGGCTTAGACTATTACTGTGTATAACCCCCTTCCCCTCCCACGAGAAATTCTCTCAGGGTCCTAACTGTGACTCTGGAATCCTCTGTCCCTGGGGGTGGAGGTGAAGAAAAGCTCTGAACCACCCCCAAGGGGAGCTGGAGTGCAGAACCAGCTCCCACTCCCACGCTCCAAGACGGCACTCGGGTTCACTCCCATGTCTCTGCCCTTGCTCTGGTCCTCTCTGCCCGAAACGCGCTCTCTTCCCTTCATCTAAATATAAAATATCTTCAACACCTACTTCTACTTCCAGAGGTTTCACTAGTAGCCTACACTGACTTTTCCCTTCTCTGAACCCTAATTACATTCAGAGTCAGAATCACAGTTTACTACTGCATGAATGTTGTTTTCTCCCCTTATTTAATAGACGCAACCTATGCAGGACTCCTGCATCTTCAACAACAGGCACAGTACATGATACACAGTGGATGCTGCTACGTATCTGTTGATAAACTGAATTAAAAGTCAAAGATATTAAGTTAAACAGCAAAGGTCTAAACCAAAATCTAGAAGGAAAATTTCATTTTCTCAACAAATACTCTATTGAGCATCTTTTGAGCTGGGCACTGAGACAAAAGATAGACAAGGCCCCATAGAGCTTACGTTATAAATGACAATGTCAGTGTCTCATTTGAGGTTATAATCTATTCTGATTTTATGGGGGAGGGTATAGCTCAAGTGGTAGAGCATGTGCTTAGCATGCATGAGGTCCTGGGTTCAATCCCCAGGACCTTCTCTAACAATAAATAAATAAACCTAATTACCTCTCCCTACAAAAAAATTTTTTTTAATCTATTCTGATTTGGATGATGATTTACTGGAATTTCAAATATTAAGTTCCAAAGGCTCAACTCTGCTAAAGCCCAATTGTTTGATGCTTCAACAAGTCAGACAATAAGCTTTTTGATATGTTCTTCCTGTGGTGTTCTAAGGACTGCAATAAAAACACTGATGAGGGAAAGAAAGAAACTTAGCAGACGTTGTGAGTAACTAAATGCTGTGGAAGTACAAGGTATCATGGACACCCTTTCAGTCTCTATGTGATATGAGTATAATAACCCCAAGGTTTATTAGTTTTAGGGAACACTTTAGCAAATACCTTTCTTCATCCATTTTATTTCATTTCACTAGAGATAATTAGTTAAGTGTTCTATGTATTCACTGTCCCCTGCTTCCCTACGAAGCAACTATTTATGTGGTGCTTCTGAAAATCTCCCTTTGATCAACTAAGACCTAAAAGAGTGAGAAAGAGGAAGGGGAGGAAGACGGAGAGTGACACATTTCAGGGGGCGGCTTTCCCCGCGTGGCAGACAGAAGAGCAGTCAGTGCGGCCCACCCGGTGCCTCAGCCTTGTCGGTGCCTCAGTTCCTGAAGGAAAAGCTGGATACCGGGGGCAATAAGCAGAGAAGGATTCGTTCCTCTTTACAGATCTAAATAATCAATAGTCTTTAAGAAAGAAATCGCTCTGGCTTAACAGAACTAGGCTGAAGACAGCCTTTCAGGAATGGAGGTGAGGAATGAAGGAAAAGTATCTGTCTTTTGCAAATTCAAATATTACACTAGGTGAGCCCAACTGCTGCCAACCAAAAACTCCCCATGGCCACACCTGGGTCCCTGAAGCCCGGCCCATGGCTCCGTCAACACTGAACGGCAGCATCCCTGCCATTCTGATCACCACCGGCGACAGAACGCTGGCGGGCGGTTCACCTGCAGGGGGAGCCGTGCTGGCTGCAGGGCCAACACGCTCTGTGAGGCTGCTGTGGGACCCCTGGCACAAGTCTTGACCAAGTGTGTATGTGTATAATTTGCCCCAAATCCTTCAGAATCACCTTGCTTCCCGAGGCATTATTAGCTGACTTGTGAAAAGAGTATATCCAGAAATGTACAAGCAAAACCACTCAAAGATCTGGTGGATAATTCAAAGGTGTGATTAGAATCAATCATACTATGACTCTACTTCTGTAATTAAAAAATATGTTATCAGTGTAAATCTACACATCCATAAAGGAACGGACTTAGAATACAGATAAAAATATTAAATAATGACTGTGGTCTTGTCTGGGTGTTGGAATTTGGGTTCTAATCCCCCCTTCTTTTTCTAATATGTTCTTCTAAGACTTTTTAGGAAAAAAAGGGTACTGCTAGCATAATGTTAAGGCAAGGGGAGCAGTTCTTCCCTCTAGAAGCTTGGCTTATGCCGATATAAATCTCCAAGTCTCCCAAAAAACTAAAAACAGAATTACCATATGACCAGTAATTCTACTGGGTATATATCAAAAAAAAAACTACTAATTCGAAAAGATACACACCTCAATGTTCAAAGCAGCATTATTTACAATTACTAAGATATGGAAGCAACCTAAGTGTCCAACAATAGACAAATGATACAGAAGATGTGGGGGGGGGATATGTATATATATATAGAGAGACATATGTATATACATAAACACAATGGAATATTACTCAACCATAAAAAATTGAAATTTTGCCATTTGCAGCAACATGGGTGGACTTGGAGGGCATTATGCTTAGTAAAATAAGTCAGACAGAGAAAGATAAATACTGTATGATATGGCTTATATACAGAACCTAAAAACTACAAACTAGTGAATGTAACAAAAAAGAAACAGACTCACAGATACAGAAAACAAACTAGCGGTTACCAGTGTGGGGAGGGGGGGATTACAGGGCTGGGAGAGTGGGAGGTACAAACTACTGGGTGTAAGACAGGCTCAAGAATGTACCGTACAACACGGGGAATAGAGCCAACATTCTGTACTAACTGTATATGGAGTGTAACCTTCGAAAATTGTGTAAAAATTTCTAAAATAATCAGTTTAGAAAGAAATAAATCTCCAGTCTACCTCAGAACTGCAGGCAGGCCTTGTTTTGCACAAGAGGGCAGGACTGTAAAAATAACTTGGCAAAGAGATCTTAATCAGTGGGGAAAACTGCAAAAATTCTGTGACATTTAAAAATGTCATGTTTGAAGAATTCTCTCACTGTCACAACATACAGGGAAAAAACAGTAAAACTATTTTATATTTTAGTAATATTTGTTTAGTACACTGTCACTGAGATCATTAGAAACACTGAAACACACAGCAGTTTATTTCTTTGTTAAAAGCTTATTGAGAGTAGTCTGAACACTGCTTGCTGCCTCTTCTCAATACAGAACTTGCAACATGGAATAAGAGTATTTTCCACAGCTTGGCAAATTGTCATACTCCTTTCTAAGCTTCTACCACTTTATCCTTTGTGCTTTCAACATTGCAAAATATCTCCAAGAGTTCCCCTCATGTGAGTTGCTTTCTGCTATCACTCCCTTCAAGACAGCTTCATCCTTCCCATCACAACCACTTTCATTATTTACATCCATCTAAGTTCACCTCCACTAATCTTCTCCAGCTGCACATCTAGAATCTCATGAACGGCAGTGATGTCAACATCATTTACTAAATTGTGTTAACTGTGTGCAATCTGTGTATATTGGAACCATGCAAAGCAAGAGCTGCCTATGCATGCAAATTAGATGCAAAATTACCTTGTGAATTATGTTCTACCTATGATCTGGCCACCATACCTTGCCTCTGCCAATTCTAGACAGAACAAATAAATGGAGGATCCTATTCTGGAAGAGAACCATTCAACTGGGAACTAGAAAGAATGTTAGAGGTAATTTAATCCAGCGCCCTCATTTTACAGATGGGGTGCTGAAAGTCACTCAGTGATGTGAAGTTATCTGCTCAGCACCTAAACTGACTTGAGAATTTCAAGGCAAAGAAATAAAAAATGCTCGGCCTCCAAATTCCTCCATCCCACATCATGGTATCGTTTTACTGAAGCAAAAACTGTTCTTGGACTGAGATCATCCTTTTGAATGTGCTTTGTCATGAATATACTTTTGTCATGGGTTTAGCTTGGGCAGTGAAGAAATCAACACTGCCTCAAACTCTGCCAAAACTGGGTTGACCACACAGTCTGAAACAGAATCCAACACCTCCACACAAGATGACCAGAAATATTCTGACTGCTCTCCAAAAGTCTTTAAATAGTTTCTTTGTGTAATTTTTTAGTTAAGGAACAGATACGAATCAAGTTTGTGGGTTTTTATTTTGTGGGGTGTATGTGTTTGTGTTCCAATTTGAACTTTATCACATCAGAAAGAAAAAATTCACAGTTCTGAAAATTAAAAGGGCAGAATACCTAAGTCATATTCTAATACTGCATCTCCTAAAGCATATGAATGTCTACAGCTGAAATTCCAACACAAAATGCTGCCAACACTGCTTAGAAGCACAGCGAGTGATGTGCTAGTGCATCATTTCTTTCCAAAGGACAAGGATAATATAACAAGGGGCTAGAGTATCGAATGAGAAAACGGCATGTGGAGTACTTTATATGTGTATCGTGCTTCTGTTTATAAAGTGCTCCTATATGTCAAATCCCATTTAATCCTCCAGGAACCCTGTGAGGTAGCCAGACAGAGAGAATTTCCCTTTACAGAGGAAGAATCTGTAGACTTGGCGGGGGTAGGGGGCGCAAAGGACTAGAGATCTAACATCTGCTAAGCCAAGGTACGAGACAAAAACTCAAGGCATCACATCCCTAACTCCAGGTTGCTCGCACCACACCACAACCCCAGATGTGCACACATGACTGTGTGCAAAGACACGCTTTAACTTACAGCATAATAAACCATGGTATGGGATACTTATGCATAAAGGGGCCTTATCAAAACGCCACAGAGCAGTTATCCCAGATAACTGGGAAGCCAGCCAATGCGTCATGAATTCTTCAGTCTCTTTGGAAATGAAATGACACAATTCTCTCATTTTAAAGCTGCTTCCAGCTGTACCAGCTCATTATCTTCACTTTCCCAGTCACTAACTTAGTTAAACCCACACAGATAGTTCCTGTACTATGAGGGGGAAAATTTTTCCTCCCAATATTTATTAAGCATATGTCAGAGTCATATATAGTCCATTACATAATGCAGTTATGCTCTGGGCTTGGCAAACGCAATTTTGACAAAGTCCTCATAATTTATGTAGTGTCTCAAGAATCATGCTCATTCTAATGTCGGCTCTTGTCTTCCTGACATGTCCCGTGACATACAGATTTCAGTGTATATGAGTATACACACAGTGCATATAGATTCCAATGTATATACTTTTTTCTGATCCATACTCTGACCCTCAGTCTCTAAGTGTCCTACTCTCTCTCTCTTTCTTTTTTAATTTAAGCATAGTTTACAATGTCATGTCAATTTCTGGTGTATAACATGTTTCAGTCATACATACACATACATATATTCGTTTTCATATTCTTTTTCATTGTAGGTTATACTCTGTTTTTCCTTTCCTGTCAGTTTTATTGAGGTATAACTGACATACTGCACTGTGTACGTTTAAGGTACACAGTTATTTGACTTGTATGTGTCATGAAATAATGAACACAAAAGATTAGTCTCATACAGATATAATATTAAAAAAATAGGAAAAAAAATTTTTCCATGTGATGAGACCTCTTAGAATATACTCTCTTGACAACATTTATATATAACACCCAGCAGTGTTAAC